TGTTTGCACAGGTACACAAATTGGGCCCTAAGCGTACACCCTAAAAGTCGATTGTCTGGGCTTTGAAAGTCCATTGGTGAATTTGAAAACTGCAAATTTTCTGATTAAATGCGGTTATTGCGGATACGTTCTTGAAGGCATTGTTTTTGAACGATTCGCTTACCATTTTCATCCGCATTCCTCTCCCGGAGCACCATTTCACGATATTTGTGGCAACCGCGTCGTATGATGACAAGTCCTGCCGATGCACCATGTTCTGAGGGCATCACTCCTCAGATGTGGAATAAGGTGGTTCCGGGAGTCTCATGATTGGCTGAACATGACACACATGCAATAATCATATTTATTATGAGCTTCGACTCTACAAACACTAAAGGATACACGATTATTCAACAGCTTTGAAGTGATTGAGGGACTTTCCTTGATATATTGATTATTGACATATTGAGGGATTCACCTGAAGATCTTTCCCAAACGGGTCCCCACTCGCGAGAGACTTCCGCCCATCCTCCACGAGGCTGGCATCATGGTTCTCCCCACTGCCAGCCTTTGGAATGTCGACAAGAGGTGGCGGCTTGATTCGATGTACGGTCGCATCACGCAAACGACGATTGCTCCGGCAGAGCGTCCATGAGAGCCGCACTCCTCGTCAGGGCCCCGCTATCGCCTACGAGTTGCTTAAGTACCCCCTAGAGGCGCGGGGCGAGACACTAGAAGGATCATCATGAACGGAGTTCATGACAATGGCGGAGCTGATTTACTTTCAAATGTGTTTGAAGCCGTATATCATGATTGTGTATGGTGATTTACCCTCTTCAACCGTATATGTTTTGCAGAATAGGCGACTCCGTACGCTTTTATCGTCTACACAGTACTTGCTCTGCAGCCAACCTGTTCCTGTACCACATCGGACGGTATCCTTTTTAGGTTTATCTGAATAGTCTTCTCGTGCATTTCCTCTCACTTCCTCTTCTCTCAAATATCTCTGCATTTGATAATTTTTTCATGCTGACATTTCTAAAAGGTGGAGGCATGCCTTCGTCATCCCGCTAAAGAAGAAGACTGCTTCTCATGATCTTTCTAATAACAAGCCAATTAGAGTCTCATTTTTTTCTGCAGAATTTATGAGATGATTATTGAAAAGACAGTGGAGTTTTGTAAAAAAGGATGTGATGTTTTTCTATTTGTCAGCATGGGCTTAGGGTAGATACGTTCACAGATACTCAAATGTTGGAATCACTGGATGACTGGGTTATCGCTATGGATGCTAAACACAACATTGATGTGATATATCTGAATTTCTAAAAAGCCTCTGGCAAGATTCCTTTGTTGCTCTTGAAATCAAACATCGGTATCCATTTAGTTGGATAAGAGTCTTTCTATATCAGCGTACGTTCCAGGCGATTTTGGATGCTGGAGGTCTGTTAGAAGTGGGCGTTCTGGAATCCCTCGAGAAGGAGTGCTACCTCATTTCTCAGCGTTAATGTGACTTGCCTGAAGTTCTTCATGACGGATTCTAATGTAAGAAGCTGCAGACATATAAGGCTTTTTAGCAGGTCCGATTCCTCCTTGCAGGCAACTGTCGATGCAATACTTCATTGGTATTTTTTTGAAAGCTCTCTCATCGTCTTCGAAATCAAAAATACTCCATTTTTGATCGAAGAACTCAACAAAGCATGCTCTGTGTCTAGAGAATCTCCTACTAAGGCTAACACGCTATAGGTTTCCTAAGTCGTGAAATCTTTCTTTAATGAGCATTGCCAACAACTCCAAAAGCAACCTTTTCCAGTTGTACAAGTCTTTTTATTCTATTAATCCTACTCCTCTGCTCAAAGCCTATATGTCATTTGTGAGACCTATGCTAGAATTAGAAACAATTAGAAAAGGAAAGGTAGAACAATACAAGTCTTTTTATTCTATTGATCCTACTAATCTGCTCAAAGCCTATATGTCATTTGTGAGACCTATGGTAGAATTGGAAACAATTAGAAAAGGAAAGGTAGAACAATTAGACAGATTAGAAAGGGTCAAACTAGTTTCCTCAGACAATTCCAATTTACAAAATGAAATTGATTAGTTCTCTGGTCAACTATAATAACCAGTGGTGTTATGAGAAGTAAGATAATGTAGCTCGAATCTCTTAGTGTAAGAAAAAAGCGTAATGATCTTCCATGCATAAAGAATACATCATAGGCTATTTGGTCTAAATTTGCATGACTTTCCTCACCTGATTCCGACTTGTACTATAGGTCACAGGCTCAAGCTTGAGCTACAGGAATTCATTCACTTGCGTCTGACAATGAGGCGAATGGAGACGCTTCCGGCAACAGTTCGAGAAAGTCGATTGTCAACGGGGCGAATGGTGACGGAGGTGATTTGTTTCGATCAGCTAATTTCTTAGACCATTCGTCCTTCGTTTTCTCTAAAATTGTCGTTGGTCGGGCAAAATCCCGCATTATGTGTCAAGGATTATTTCTCTTTGTCTTGTCTGAAGTTGATATAGATAGTTGCGCTATATGGTGCTAAGGTTGCCTCAAGCGGTACAGTCATCTGGACTAAATTGCTGCATCCGTTCAACTATGGTCGAGAAGCAGAAGTAATTGACGAGTGTCACTTCAGCAACTTTCTGGCAATGGTTGAGCAAAACTAAAATGTACTAAAGGTTGCCAGCCGAACATTTGAACATTTTGTGGAATTAAGCCAGCTGTTTGTAAAGGGGAAAATATTGGGTGTAAGAGGAGAGGATTGTGGCTCTATAGCCATGCTTTACTTACTACTGTGAGAGCTGTAACATTTTTATGGTAACCGTACACGTGACAGGTTTCGAATTTGCAGATATGGCTTCATCAGTAGATTAGGAAAGACTACTGCTTATCCATTTGAGTTGTGCTGCGTTCTAAATGACTCAGACACTGTAACTGAGTAGAATCTGAGCTGAGCTCTTTAAAGTTTTTGATACGCTCAGAGTATTAGTGTCCAGAAAAATTCTAAAAAAAATTACACTTCTAATTGTATGTGAAAGCATGTTCACCCGAACGCGCTAAAGAAGAGCTATGAGTCCAGTAGCAGGGAAGGGCATTGTTGATAGATCAGTACTATAGCTATGAATTTGCCGAGCCTTGTGCTGTCGATTACATGAGCCCTCTGCTTCACCATCACGGAGCAGATCGCTACGAAATTCAGGCTCGGAATGAGATATGGTAACTCTTGAGCAGCAGTGCACCCTTTCTCGTCACCTTTCATAAATAATACAATCGCTTTGAAAGGAGATTGCTTCGACGAAAACCGTTCAAGCGAGCGTCTACTGTCCCCTGATACCGACATTGCTCTACCCTCCCGTCAGAGCGATCCGCTCAAGTGTCAGGAAATGGAAAGGTGATCTCTACTTCCCAATACATCATCCACGTCGTTCCACGCAGAACTGACTTTCAAAGCAGGACTCTCTGCAAATATCGCACACTCCTTGACTGAGCACAGCATCGAATGCGAGTAGTGTGTGTTAGAAGCTCCTCGACCGTTAGTGAACGGCGATACGAACCAACTTCATGATCCACAAGATAAAAAGTAGACGTCATGGCCTACCAACGGACGTAAGGCCACAGCCGTTGTGAAGCGAGGCGCTTGCGTCAAGAAGGACATGAACTCATTCTTCCTCTGCTTGACCGGGTGTTCTACTATGAGATCCTGCCAGAGTGTATCGCGGTAAACGCAATAGTGTTCTGATAACAACGGAAAGCGTTGGTGTTCCGAGCCCCCATTTCACACCGATTTCCATAAAATTCTGGACCGTGATGGATATTGCACGAATACCCCAGCGAGGCGATTGATGAACAGGGAAGGTCTGTTATAACCCGACTACACTACTCCCCACACGACCTCAACCCATATACTGCCATACTTTCAAAAGAGCTTAAGCCTGCTCAAAAGAGAAAAAATTGAACAATCGTCAGGAAGTCAAGTAAGTAGTAGATGATGGATTGCGTCGCGAGTCTATTCTTTTTAGAGGAAAGGCATCAGTTGTAACAAAGGCTACCGTAATCAGTATCAAAGAAGTCGTCGATTGCTGTGAGTCACCGACCGACTTATCGCCGTTCGGATCTTCATAGATGCGCGTTTGCCGTAGGTTTAGCTTGAAGGAAGGGGACTTCTC